ATGGTGATTAATGCTCAAACCTTCTCCATGCGAGAAGAGGCTTCGGTCAGCAGTGGCCACTTATAGACTTAATGATGAAAATGTTGATGATTCTACTAATTTGACTTACTTATTAGAAATTAATCCTTACACGCGTGCTAAGCAACCAGTTTTCAGAAGAAATACTTTCTCAAAGAGCTAAGCTTAAGTTTAAATCGAATTAACTTAAAGACTATTAATTTGTATATCAGGCCTCTGCCTCGAATCTTGATTTTATACATTAAATCTTGCGTCTGCCCGCAAGATTCAAGGTGAAGTGAGACATTAGTTTTATCATATCCGACACAAGACTTCCACTGCTAAATGTAGGCCTTCTACCCAATGACAGTCGCTTACATTATGAATTTGCATTTTCGTAGGCACCTAAGAAATGAAAAGATTGTGAGGCATACTCTTTAAAACTCTATTGGTACATCAAGCTTGCTGAATTAACAGGATCATTCCTAATAATACAAAGTAATAGTCAGTAGAGTAGCGAGCAGTATTTAGATTTTGTTTTTTGTAAACAACCACTAGAGAGCACATTGACATTTTTCCGTTAACTGTCATCTGTCATTTGTAATAGATATTTTGCTTAACGGTGGCTCTACACTTGACGTTGCGTATTAGTCGTGTTCGGCCAAAAAAAAACATGTGTGGAGGATTTATTCTTCTTTGTTTGCTCTATATTTGCACGCCATTACATATAGGGAACTATTTGGACGCCATTTATACGTAGTCCACAAATATTTTAACAAATGAAGCGACTACGCAATGTCAAGTGTGGTACCACCTTAACGTACCTTTTGTACATTTTCAAAGTGAAATAACTTTTGAACCCCAAGTTCTAAAAATATGTAATTTTTTTCTAAACTTCATAATAAAAATATCTATCGTTCAGACTATTCGCTTGGTTAAAACACTGACTAATACAAAATTTTATAGCGGTACAAAACTTCCATACAAACCTGCCATTCTCCTTTGACACTTGTCAGCGTCATCCCCATGCATTTTGATTTCTACTCTTTCTCTAGACAAGCGCTAAAGTGGCGTTTGGCTAAAGGCTCTGAATCGATAGATTTAATTTTATGGAGACTTGAATGTCTTCATCGCGTTAGGTGAGGTGAAAGGAAATGACAGGCACTTACTGACTAAATACCATTCTGCTCCATTTTTTTATTGAAGCGGACGAGCTGACGGATTTCCTGTTGGTAAGCGAACAGCGCTGACAATGGACACTTACAACACCAGTTGACCCCACAATTCCTCTTATCCCCAATCTCCCCGATACCCAAATCCCCAAAAAGCTGGTTACGCACTTATAACACCTCTGGTGTTCCGGGTGTCCATGGGCGACGCTGATTGCTAACTTTCTTATCTGTTTGCTCGTTTATCGGCCTGTACCATATTTTTATTAAATTTTGATTGCTACAATTTGCGCAATTGCCAAAACAGTTGTCAAAATATAAAATCTAATGATAGATAGGATACTAAGACTAACCGTTGGTCGCATTTTACTACAAAATTGATAAATAACACAAAATGACATTAAGTTTTCTCATAAGTAATAGAAAATTGGTTACAATGAAATCAATATGGCGTCGACATGTAGATAGCCATATTTGTATTTGTAGTGAAGTACAAAAATAACAGTGACGTAACACAAATATACTTCGTTATTCAACTGTTATTACAAAGCGTTATCAGTTATAACTGTTATTGAAACGTTATTAATTAGTTATTATTAATATGGCTGCCTCGTTTATTAGGTATTTATGTTAGTGTTTCAGGTTCGATTCTCGGATCGGGTTAAATGTTAAATATTTTGATTTTCACAGTTTTTGTCTTGAATTCATAACATAATAGGCAAAACAGGGAATTAAAGGCGAAATGTTATATAATGTAACGTTATATTGTACATTAATATTTACAAATTGTTAATTCCAGTAGAATGGCACTCAATTCACAAAGTCTTTTTACAATTTATTTGTAATTAAGATTAAAATGTCAAAGAAAGCCTCATTGGCTATTCTTTCTTTGCTAAATATCTATATTCATGACTGACTGACTGACGGACAATCTGTGTGGTGGAGGCTGAATAAAATAACGCTCCACGACGCGTTTTTTGACGAATGCATGCATCTTTCACAAACAATAGGCAGTCTATAAATGACCAATGCTTGCATCTTGCTTAGAATCGATGAAAACAGTTCACGAAGCGATGATGCTAAACTCGTCTATCGTTTTTGACGAATGCTATATCAACGGCAGGCATATGTCTCCACAACAAGTCATTTGACGAATGCATGCAACCTACAAATGACGATAGGCAGATTCATATGAACAGTGAATGACGTTACGATTCTGTTCCATGGGCAGTCTTCATTGATTCTAAGCAAGATGCAAGCATTCGTCATTTGTAGGTTGCACGCGTGCGTCAAATAACGCGACGTGGACTGTTACCCTTATTTTGTCACCACCCTGACTGCCTCGTTGGCCGAGTGGTCGCAAGTGCGACTACCGGGCAAGGGGTCTCGGGTTCGATTCCCGGGTCGGGCAAAGTATTACTGGGTTTTTAAAAAAAATCTCAGTAGTGGCACGGAGTCTGGAAATGTGCCCGGTATATGGCAATAAGCTCACCCCCTATTACATGGGACTCATAAATAGTGAAAAGTGAGTGAGTTACTTCTGTGGCACCTTTGCCTACCCCTTCGAGGATAAAAGGTTGTTGATGTTATGTGTCCTGACTTAACCCGCGGGTTTTTATAAGATCCGATATATATTTAAACTAGAGCCGTTAGTCAATAAGACATATTAATAGTATATAGCATAAGAAAGAATAGTTTAAAACTACAAATAATCATATAAATATACAAACTACGGACTATTATTGTCTATTAGTTCATAAAATAGTCGCCAGCGTTTCAATCTATACTAATTTCCAGATTCTTTATTAAATTTTCATCCTTACACTCATGTGATAAAGATGAAAATCTAATGACTGATAAGGACTAGCTTGACCTGCTGACGTATATTATATTTGTTCAAAGTAAAATATTTATTTGATTGGCAAGATTCATCAAAATTTTTCTCTTTAAATCGGCTTATAAAATAGGATGTCAATCGAATGGTACAAAATCATAGTCCTCCGGTTTTTCCAACAGAATAAAAGAATTATTAAAAAATAATTATCTCAAATTTCATTCATTATTTTGTTAATGTGTATGAGTAGTGGATTGGTAAGCTGAAGTGGCAGTGTGCCGGTCACATTTGTCGAAGAACCGATAACCGTTGGGGTAATCGTATTCTAGAGTGGAGACCGCGTCTAGGCAAACGTAATGTAGGGCGCCCTCCAGCTAGGTGGAGTGACGACATCTGCAAGGTGGCTGGCAGTGGTTGGATGAGAAGAGCTGAAGACCGAGCTCAGTGGCGTGCCATTCCATTGGAGAGGCCTGCGTCCAGCAGTGGACGAATACAGGCTGATGATGATGATATATGAGTAGTAATTTGTCAATTTTTCTAGATATATGTATTCTATAGGACGCTATTGCATGTCATCATATTTTTGCATCATATTGCGTCAAACAGCATCATCATCATCAACAGCCTATATATCCCCACTGCTGACCAAAGCCTCTTCTCACACGGAGAAGGTTTGAGCATTAATCACTACGCTTGCTCAATGCGGGTTGGCGATTACAAACTTGTAATTAGCAATTATAAGTCCAGGTTTCCTTCACCGTTTGTCAGTGGTGTCTAAATAATCTTAGAAAGTAAATATAACTCGGAAAAAGTCACATCGGTACTTGCCGTTGGTAGGTTTCGAACACGCACCCTCGTGCATGAGAAGCGGGCGTCTTAACCTCCGGCCCACCACGACATTATAAAAGTATAATTATTTTTGACATTTTGATGAAAGTATTGAATTTGACTAGTGGTCAGCTGCCGTACTCTTTAGTCCATTCGCTCGCTATCTTCGTGCGCCGTATTCGAGTACGCCATTATCTATGACGCGGCAGTCATGTGTCTTGAATCATGACGTAATTTGGGGCGTTGCCAGAGAGGAGGGACCTGTTCTAACCACGCCTATTGACTGATATTTATTTAAAATTCTCTTGGCACACAAAGTTACTGAGATAAAAAAATAGAATAGATTTTGGCACGGATTCTTTGAATTGAAATTGGAATAGTAAAAAAAATCAATTTGGCTTATAAATTATTATTGATGTCTTTATGCGCTGTAACGAAAAAAAAAAAAATTTACGCGGGAAAATAAAAAACAATGGCCGCCGACCAAAATAATGAATCGTAATAAATCTTGTCAATCTTTAATAATTCGAGAATTATATTTTAGAATATTACATTTTCTTACAATTACGTAGCTTAATGTTTATTTATTTAATGTAATATTTACATTTTATTTACAATTTAATTTCGCTTATGAATACACTATACAATAACGTTTATCGATAACGGTTATCCAACCGTTACAACGTTATTAAGTTATTCTATTACAAAAAAAAACGAGAATTTTTATCACTTGTATTTTTGAGTAGAGTACTAAAGCAGTCTTAGAAATAATAATAAAACATACAATTTGATTTTTAATTATTTTTAAAATAAATAAGTTAAAAAATCTATCAAAGAAGTTTTATAGATGCTTATGGCCTTTTTGTCAATGTCGGAGCAAAATATGAAATCAAAGACCGTAATAGATTTCTAACCTTAATAAATGTTGAAATAAAGTTATTTATACATATATTAAAAATTATTTTCGCAATAATTTTCCATACTTCCTTGTCTTCATCAAAATAGTGAAACGAACACATAAATTACCACAGAATATAAATAAAATCACACGTCCAATACATTTTAAGGACCCGGCAAACATTTTACGTCAACACCGGCTCTGCTGTCACACAGTTCATATTTTTGAACCAGTATCATATACAATTGTAACCCTACGACATATACTATAACAGTCAATGCACAAACTCATTCACTCCCCCTCCATGGTGGTGGAACTGTTGCGTATTATCCACTATCACACTTGTGTATCCCCCCTCTTGCACAGTCGGACTCGGCGTGATCTTCCCAAAAGACCCCCCAAAATTCTCCCCAACCGGCCTCCCATTCTGATTCTGATTATGGTAAAATGATATTAAATTTGTATAGTTGTACTGATTTGGTATCTCTGAACCTTCTATTGAGCTGCATGATGAGGAGCTAGCGGAAAATGGCCGTTGGTTTTGTGGAAAACTCACATAGTTAGGTAATATTTCCCCTGTATCTGTGTAATTTTCATAGAATATTTCCTGATATGAGCCGTTTTGCTGTTGGTATTCTTCTTGTGTCTCGTATGGGGGTATTAATGGGATGTATTCTGGGTAATTGTACCCCCCACTTGAGTCGCTGTACTCGCTCTCAGCGACAGGAACTGGAATTTTTTCTGGATGTCTCACATGTGGCATTTGTGGCGATGTGGTAGTTGTGGGGACGTGGGACGGCGTGGGACACTCCACAGGGGCGTGCTTTGGTGTACCTTGGCTGATGTTTAGTATTAGATGCTTCTCTTCTATGTCACTGTAAAGGAGAACTCTGTTTTAGACTTTCAGGGATTTGTCAAAAGGCTTTGTATTTTAGAAGTAAAAACTTAACTTGAACTTGGAAAAATAGGCAGACCACATTCCAAGATAGGGTACTTGCCTTAATCAAAAATAAATTATTTTTTACTGTTTAATACAATAAAAAATAATCACGCTTTCATTAATTGATTATATGACTAACTTAATATTAGCATTTTTCCAGCAAATTTCTAAGAAATTAGTATGCTGTTTGACGCTAAAACGTGACGTCACAATACACAATCTCGTACAAAATTCAGAAAACTGTCGTTTTTGACAGTTCGAAATAAGTATTGAATTTGACTAACTAGTTGACAAGTACCCAATTGCCATTTAATTCTAAGACTTATTACTGAGTTTTAAAAGTCAAACTTCATAAACCACATACATTTTGCAAAAATCTTGAAAATCCAAAATTGATATCTAGAATTCCCTAACCCTAAAAGGCCGGTAACGCACTTATAACTGCTGTTATTGCGTTATCCATGGGTGTCGTTGATTGCTTACCATTAAGCGATTCTTCAGTTAATTTTCTACCCTATTCCACTAAAAATTGGGTTTAATAATATTGTGGCTGATGCGGGTGCGCGCGAGGTAAAGAAATGAGAAACTACAGTTATTGATTTAAACTGGGAGCGATCAGCGGGCATGCATCTCTGCGCGTGCAATCGCGCGTGGGCGTCTTGGTCGTCGGGTACAAACGTGTGCACTGAACAAAAAAAAGTATGGCGGACGCAGGATGCGGAACGCCACCGCTCCGCGCGCCGCCGTGCGGGCATGCGCCGAAATAAAATACGCGAACGCGATTGGTCCGTTTGAACATGCCGCGCTGAGGCTCCACAGACTATTTAATCAATCCAAACACAAATCAATACACTGTCTGTACTAATGACTTATAATAAACATTATGTTACCTATAACAAAAAACATTATGTTTCACTAACATGACATTTAACTTAAAATAATAATATTATTCGCCGGGCGGGCCGTCTAATCATCTTCAACATCCTGCCCCTTAGTGTTGTCTGAGCAACACTCATCACATAGTAAGAGAGCAACACGAGAGGCCGGACGCTTTACGACTCCGGTCTTTGTTTTGATAGCTACGACTCTTACCCGTCCGTCGGATCCTGGGTAGACTGCTTGTATTACGCCTTTCGGCCAGATATTTCGGGCGAAGCGGGATCTGTTATTACAACTAGGTCACCTACCTGTAACTGAGCTCCTTCGCGGTTCCACCTCTTGCGAGGCGCCAGGGTAGGAAGAACTTCTTTAATCCACCTAGACCAAAATAAATCCGCAAGGCGCTGGGCTATACGCCATTGCTTCCGCAAGTGCAAATCTTTGTCGTCAAAAACGCCGATTTGTGGTAAGTTAGATGACGATCCTAGTAAAAAAGTGATTAGGTGTTAGTGCTTCTGGGTCTCTTGGATCCACAGAAACATGAGTTAAGGGACGTCCATTGATCATATTTTCCACTTCACATAGAAACGTAGTCAGGGTTTCTTCTCTAGGGGTGCGCTCTTTGAGAACTACTTTTAGTGCGGTTTTTACACTCCTAATGAGCCTCTCCCATGCACCTCCCATATGAGGACTGGCCGGTGGAATAAACTTCCAATCAACTCCTTTATTGATCGTGTCCGATATTAGCTGTTGTTGGTTGTCAACCAGCTCTTTATAGGCCTTTTTTAGCTCAGTGTCTGCCCCTCGTAGGTTGGTCCCGTTGTCAGAAAACATCGTACGTGGCCAACCTCTGCGAGCGGCCATCCTACGTAAAGCCATTATCATGGAGTCAGTCGTAAGAGTCGGAACTACCTCGATATGCACAGCGCGTACTGTGAGACAAGTAAACAGCACACCGTACCTACGCACTCTTTGTCTTCCAACGACTACTTCTATCGGCCCGAATAGGTCAACTCCACACATGGTAAACGGTCTATGATGATGCATGAGTCGACATTCGGGTAAGTCACCGAGGCGCGGCGGCTGAGGTAAGGCTTTTTTAAAGCGGCAAATTAGGCATTTCTAGCTACAGAACGAACCGTAGGTCTTAGTCTAATGAGCCAATATTTTGTCGCAACTCATTGACTACCATCTCGTTACTAGAGTGAGCTGCGTTTACATGGTAATGGGTCACGATGAGCCGAGCGATATGGTCTTTTCCATCTAAAATTACAGGACATTTGGTATACTGATCCACATCCTTGGAGTTCATAATACGGCTACCTACGCGCAACAAATTGTTTTCATCTAGTATTGGGGTAAGTGAACGTAAACGACTATCTGTCTTAACTTGTTTATTTAATCTAAGCGAATTTATGTCATCTTGAAAAGAATGTACTTGTGAATAACGAAGTAATAATAATTCTGCTCTGTTCATTAATTTCTCATTAATTACACTTGTTGAACTCTTTTTGCATTTTTCAATAAATAATAATACTGTCGCAGTAGTACGTAACAATCGTAACCAGCTAGAGAATCGACTTGGTTCGGGAACAGGTAAGTCACATTTTATATTAACATTATCTTGAACAATGTTTACTTTTTCTAATGTATCGTCACTAATTATTATTTTTGTTTCAGGTCGCTGCGGCCAGCAGGAACGCGGTTGGCGCAGGAAGGATGGTCCAGTAAACCATTCAGAGTCACTACTCAATACGTAATCATTATTTTTTGTCCCCAGGTCCGCGACGTTTAAAGCAGTGGGTACATAGTGCCACTCGTCCGTCTTACTCAACTCGTCTATTTCTCCGAGTCTGTTTGCAATAAAAACTTTATATGATCTACATTTATTTTTAATCCAATGCAAAACTGTAGTAGAATCAGTCCAATAATATACTGAATTCGGTTGCAAACGATGTTCTGTCTTAATACTCTTAGCTAACTTGCATGATAATAAAGCGCCCTGCAACTCAAGTCGCGGCACGGTAACAGGCTTCAACGGAGTAACTTTACATTTACTAGCGATAAACGATACGGTAACGCGTCCATCGGTGCTTTCCCGGCGCCAATAAGCGACCGCAGCGTACGCGTTCGGCGATGCATCGCAAAACAAGTGAAGTTCCAAACTCGCTAAAGTATCGCCAGCGCTATCACTAGAAAAATACCATCGCGGAATTTTAATGTTATTTATTTCTTTAGCTTGAATTAACCATTTGCAAAATAAATCATATAAATCATCTGTTAATTTATCGTCCCAATTAATATTACTTTTCCAAGTTTCACGCATTAATATTCTCCCTTTAATCGTAAATGGTCCTAAGTAACCGTGAATATCAAAAATAGACATAACGATACGTAACATTTCGCGTTTTGTAGGTATACGTTTAAAAAGTAAAATATCTTCGGGTATACGCTTAAAAGATAAGTCCAACGCCAATACATCGCTGCGCGGGAACCACAATATGCCTAACGCTCGTTCTGCTTGTTTAGCAAAATTGAACTCTATTGCCATGTCATTAAGGCTGTCTTTAGGAATGTCACTGAGAACGGTAGGCACATTACTAAGCCAGTTGCACATATGGAATCCGCCTTGACTATGAATAAATGAAATTTCTTTTATCAATTGTTTAGCTATATTTACATCAGTAACACTATCTATGTAATCGTCCATGTATTGATTGTTTTTTATAGCATTTACCGCGTCTGGCATTTGTTCACTAAATCGCGACGCGTTTTTGTTTTGATTTATAAACTGAGCTATAAATGGGGAACAGTTTGCTCCGAAAATTAGTGACGTCATAGCATATTTACCTACACTACCGCTACCTTTCTCTTTCCATAAAAATCGTAAGGCATTTTGGTCATCACTATGAATTTTGATTCTTAAAAACATATCCTTTATGTCGCCTATTATTCCTATAGGATTCTCTCTAAATCTAAACATAATACCGTACAAAGATTGCAATAAATCGGGACCTTGAAGAAGGAAATCATTAAGTGACATATCACAACATTTTGCCGCGGCATCGAATACTAATCGTAATTTCTTTTTATTCGGGTTATCGACTCCAAAATGGGGTAAATACCAAATATGGTGGGATGTTTGTTCGTCTTTAGATCCGTTTTCATCCAATTTTCTCGCGTAGTTATTGTTAAAAAGATATTGCATACGCTCGCGGTACCTACTTTCATATTCTGAATCTAACATTTTTCGTTCTACCGATTTTAATCGTTTTAACGCCATAGGATACGAATCCGGCATGATAAATTCATCATGTTTCCACGGAAGCCTGACCGTCCATTGTCCATTGACTAACTCGGCAGACTCGTCGACTATTTTGATGGCCCTTAATGTCTCTAAGTTCTGACGCGGTTTGCTATTAATACCGATTGAATCTAAAGAAAAAGAACGACGAATTAACTCATGTAAATCAATGTTTACGTTATCGTTATCAGATTGCATAGATAAAGACATGTTAGTTTGCTGCAATGATGTACTTGTGCATGCAATAATATTATAAGGTTCGCTCGCGCCCGTGTCGCTGCCGCTGCCAGCTGCCGATGAGTCGCGGCGGGCGCGCGCGATTGACTTACCTTGCGGGGTGAGTGCGAGCGGGCGAGCTGCCGCCGCTCGGGTCCCGCTGACGCTGCTGATATTGTTGGCGTGCTCGGCGCGCTTATCAGTAAAATCAGTTTGGCGTAAAGCTCCATGCACACACCACCCTAATAATGTTTGCGTGATAAACGGCCCGCTCGACTTATACCTTTTACAAACAATTGGCGCAATTAAATCATAATTATCTTGCCCTATTAACAATTCAGGTTTAACTGTACTAACAGAACACAAAGGATAATTAATATTAGGTACATTTTCGTAACATTCTACACTTGAGACAAATTGTACGGGTAAGTTAAATTCCTTAAGTTTGCGAGCACGTAGCTCGTACTTATCACCGTTACTGTTGCTGATGGCACATTTTATAAGTTCAGTTTGACATACCAGTTCAGAGTCCCATGCGCCAGATGCGCGCATTGTCACCGTCTTACCGTGGAGCCCGACCTTATCAGCAAGGTCGGCGGCGATAAGGGTTACCGTGGCACCGTCATCTAACAACGCATGCGTGTTGACACTCACTTTAGGTCCGTGAACGGTTACCGGCACTATTTTAAGCACTACTTTTGACCCGGTTAATGTCTGTGATGCATTTGGCACGTTAAGCACTGACACTTCGGAACACTGCGCGGCGCGGGTGTTTGAGTGAGCGACGAGTTCGCTATCGGGCTTCGGCGCGTCGCTGGGAGGCAGCGGCGGCGTGGATGATCCGTGGCGCGCTGCCTCCGGCTTCGTCCAGTGTAGCAGGCGATGGTGCGGCCCACCACAGGCCTCGATGTCGCAGCTCTCCGCAGAACACGTCGCTGGATCTTGATGTCGAGAACCGAGGCATTTGAAACATAGTTTGTTCGCTCGAACAAATCGCCATCGGTCTTTTCTCATTGCTCGTTTGAACTTGCCGCAGTCGGGTAGTGAGTGCTCGGCAGTTCTTTTGCAAAATTGGCATTTAGTCTGCGCTGTGTCGGGGTCATTGACCGTCATTGCTGTTAATACGGAATGTGGATGTTTCTTATCGGTTTTTTCGTTTTTATTATAACGTGAGTATTCGTTCTGGTAGTGTATGTAGCTCACTCCGGCCTCTGCTACCTTTTTAGCTTCGATGTAAAGGAATTCTGATAATAATTGTAATTTTGGAGTATCTTGCTGTAATCTTTCGTGCAGGTATTCTATCCACTTGTTAATTAAATTGGTAGGCATCTTTGAGACGACGATTGAAGATAATTGTGGGCTTCTTAAATAGTCTGATTGGTTCAGTGTTGTGACTGCTGTAACATAGTTTTTCACTTTAATTGCGAACTTGACTATTTCAGAGTGGTAAGCTTCTGGTAGCGGGGATAACTTTCGGAGCTGAACTGCCACTTGGCGCATTACGATCTCAGGTCTACCGAATCTAAGTTCGAGCGTGTCCATGACGTCCTGAGGTGAGGTGTTACCCATCAACAGTGCGGATGCTGCTTCCTTCGCTTCTCCACGTAAACACTTACGTAAGCGCCATACGTTTTCGGTATCACTAAACTTACAGATGCGCGACGACTCGTAAAATGCTTCTCGGAATTGGAGCCATTCTAAAGGGTCTCCGAAGTACTGGGGTAAATCCTTAGAGGTGGCGAGCCGCGTGAGTAGGGTACGGCCATTCTGAGTGGCCGTGGTCGCCTCGACTGCACTCTTGATGGCGCAGGTTAGCTCCCGTATGGCGGTGCTCGCGCCTGTGTCCTCGACCGTCACTTTGTAATCTCCATCGAGCGACGGGTCGGGCTCGGCAATGGACTTCTCCAACCAGCTTTCTACTTTGCATTTATAGGAGTTTGCCGACGACTGTGAACAACGTGAATGCAGATCTGCTACTTCCACGGCCATCTTCTTTTGAAGCAACTCCTTCTGAATGCGCGCTTTTTCTTTTGCTAATTGAGCTTGGGATTGAGCTTGGGCTTGCGCTTCCTCTAACTCAATCTCCGCTTTGGCTGTCTCATATTGAAGGCGCAGCCGTCGCGCTGTGGACGACGACGTGTGAGAACGTGCGCCATCGCGGGCGCCGCGCCGTGCGCCGCCGCCATTTTCGCCACACGAGTTCGCACGTGGTGGACGATCTGCGACGTCTTTGATCGTGCACTGCACTTCTGATTTCGCTTCTAGCTTCTTTTCTTCGTTAGCCGTTAATTCTTCCTTAGTGTGAGCACGTGTCCTAACGCCACGCGTCGGTGTACGAAATAACGACATTTTCTCGTTCGCGCGCTTGATCTTGTTCTTAGATCCGGCTCGAAGGGCCACTTTGTGGCTGATGCGGGTGCGCGCGAGGTAAAGAAATGAGAAACTACAGTTATTGATTTAAACTGGGAGCGATCAGCGGGCATGCATCTCTGCGCGTGCAATCACGCGTGGGCGTCTTGGTCGTCGGGTACAAACGTGTGAACTGAACAAAAAAAAGTATGGCGGACGCAGGATGCGGAACGCCACCGCTCCGCGCGCCGCCGTGCGGGCATGCGCCGAAATAAAATACGCGAACGCGATTGGTCCGTTTGAACATGCCGCGCTGAGGCTCCACAGACTATTTAATCAATCCAAACACAAATCAATACACTGTCTGTACTAATGACTTATAATAAACATTATGTTACCTATAACAAAAAACATTATGTTTCACTAACATGACATTTAACTTAAAATAATAATATTATTCGCCGGGCGGGCCGTCTAATCATCTTCAACAAATATTGTGTTTTTTGTCAATGAACCCACCTAAGTACGTAGTTGACGGACACGATACAGTGCGGCCGTGAAGACCTGGAATTGTGCACGATGGTCGCGTAGCTCTGCATCCACACCCAGCCTCCGCTTTTTGTGAGAAAACGGTAGTACCTGGACGTCACTTGACCTTTTGTTAGCACTGGAAGAAAGGAGATAGATCAGGCTTTTTATTTTGTACCTATTTTCAATCATAACTTCGTACACGTTTTGTGTGTATGTAGCATATATGGAACGATATAATTTGTGGATTACCATACAGTCATATCAATGTAAATGCCCCACTGGGCTATATGCAAACTAAGCCGGACCGACAGCTGTAAACCGTACTTTATTAATTTAAATATTTTGACGGTACCATGTATCTACATGTACGAAGTGTTAGTATTTGTAAAGAATAATATTAATCTGTTTGACAAAATGAAAAGTAAACGCTATAATAATCACATATGTTTCCCGAGTAATAGAACGCATTTTCTTAATAATAGCGTTTTTTGTATGGCCCCAAGATTATACAACCATTTGCCAGGTTTTTAAAAATAGTTTAACTCGTCGAGTACCGGTTTTATAGAAACAATTAAAGAACCCGCGGTCAGCGGTGACCGCTTGGTATTTGACAGTTTAAAAAGGTTTTTAATCTCTAAGGCATATTATAGTGTTACTGAATACTTAGACGACAAAATATGATGTATTTTTTGTTTAATAATTTTTATCTTGTTTTTATTTAACTATTGACATTCTGATTGTTTAATATTGTGACATTTAAATTTTTAATCCTATGTGACCTAATAATTAATAATTCGAATGACATTAAGTAATAATAATCAATCCAAATCTTTGTTTCTAACTATTTTCTAATTTTGTATGCTGAAAAAGCCAACATAGCGTTTAAAATTGTTATTTAAGACCCTAATGTTACCTATGTTCACAATTGAATAAATGAATTTGAATTTGAATTTGTACAGAGTCGCTCAATGGTAACCCAGTCCGTAGCAATTGTTGCATGACGGTGCGGTTTTGGAACCTGGCAAGTACCAATATGACTTTTTCCGTATATATGTACTTCCTAAATTTATTTAGACAACATTGACAAACGGTGAAAGAAAACATCGTGCGAAACCTGGGATTATAATTTCTAATTAACATAACATAACATCACGCCTTTCATCCCCGAAGGGGTAGGCAGAGGTGCACATTATGCCACTGTACAATGTAACACCCACTTTTCACTATTTATGTTACGAGTCCCATGTAATAGGGGGTGAGCCTATTGCCATATACCGGGCACAATTCCAGACTCCGTGCTCTACTGAGAATTTTTAAAAACCCAGTAATACTTTGCCCGACCCGGGAATCGAACCCGAGACCCCTTGCCCGGCAGTGGCACTTGCGACCACTCGGCCAACGAGGCAGTCTTTCTAATCTATCAGTAATTTCTAATTCTAATTTTAAAACCAGCATTGAGCAAGCCTGGTGATTATTGCTCAAACTTTATATGTGTGGAAAAAGGTTTGTGGTCAGCAGTGGGTATTTATAGACTGTTGATGTGTCTGTAAGCTATTTATGAAGATGATGATGTATGACAAGACAATAGAAGTATGGGAGGGCCATGCTTCGGCACGAATGGGCCGACTCGACCAGAGTGATACCACGGCCGAGCAGAAGACCGACGTGAAACAACGCAAGAGCAAGCGTTGTGTTTCATCATGTGAGGTAAAGGGGAAGAGCCCTTTCCCAATTCCCGAATTCCCAGCAATCCTCAAATTCCTAATCCTCAAAAGGTCGGTAACGCACTTGTAACGCTTCTGGTGTTCCAGGTGTCCATGGGCGACGCCGATTGCTTACCATCAGGTGATCCGACTGCTCGTTTACAGGTTTATCCCAAAAAAAATACTTACGTGTACAGTGTGAATGCCTCATATGTAATACATCAGTTCCATGTATGTAATGATACAGCGTCTTCTCAATCAGGTCCTGAGGTTCATACCCTGTTAACGACGCCACCCTGTCAACAAAAAACAACTTTTAGTTTCAAAAAAAATCACAGAAGCCTATGGAGTTTCTTACTCGTTCTTCTCCATAGGAATCTACACCTTGGAATGAGCAAATAGCTTCACTTTTAAATTTCTATTGCTGACGTTCAAAAGTGCCTTCCTGGTCTAATTGAAATTAATGATTTTGACTTTGACTTTGACTTTGCATGTTTTTAAAGAAATAACTTAAAAAAATCGGACTTAAAGCTGCTACCGGTGACTGTCGCCAGTATTTACGTATACGATAATTACGTGAGTATGCCGAAAAACATAATGATTAATTTGGTATGTCTCGCGAAAGTTATAATATAAATTACCTCATGTGCCATTTCAAACTATAATAATTTATATCTGTACCAAATTTCATCGAAATCAGTCCAGTAGTTTTGACGTTATTGTAGTAAAACATACATTCATTTCATAATATTACTGCAGATTTTTAACGATACTAAAAAAACGCCCCACTTATTCAGCGACACTCGATCAAACAAACATATTGTTTTTCAAGCGTAAAAACTGTTGACGCTTAAAAAAATATCCAGCGTCACTTCCGCCAATTAATACCTTTTGCAAAAAACTAAAGGACATAGAGGGCGCTACCCCTGCTTTTGAGTGTTAAGGGTTAACTAATTATAAAGGGTGGAGGGTTCGTTTTGAGTGGTTGTGTACTTGTGTCGCTAGAAATGAGTGTTTTTTATAGATAGAAATTGTTTTTTAGCGTGATTTCATTTCATTATTTAACTAAAAAACGCGGGTTACGGGAATATACTGTGAAAAACTACTAGTTTCATGCATTAGCCCAATTACGTGGACACACATCACATCAACAGCCTATAAGTGCCCACTGCTGACCAAAGGCCTCTTCTCACACGGAGAAGGTTTGAGCATGAATCACCACGCTTGCTCAATCCGGGTTGGCAATTATAAGCGTTTTTTAGCGTCAAACAGCATACTTATTTCTTAAAAATTTACTGGAGAAATACTAAATAAAGTTGGTCATAAAATAAATTAATGAAAGTGTGATTATTTTTTAATATTCTATTGTATTGATCAGTCGAAATATTTTATTTTTGATTAAGGAATGTAGCCAATTTCGCATATCGCGCCATGGACAGTACCTAGGCCTAATAAAAGTAGCTAGTGTACTATTTAATTTCTTACTTATAATTTTATTTTTTAAATTTAATATAGTTAAACGTTTTCCATTCCGTTATCAGCCAAAAGTCAATATCATTATCGCCTTTAAATTATTTATTAACATAACAAAAAGGCTTTTAGACGAGTAGACAACTTTTTTTTTTTCAACTGGTTTTATAACTGTTGTTAGATAACGTTGTTTGTTTAAATAACTAGTTTTAATTAATAACCGTTATTTTTTACTGCTTCGTTAGCCGAGTGGTCGCAAGTGTAACAAGGGGTTTCGGGTTCGATTCCCGGACCGGGTAAAGTATTACTGGGTTTTAAAAAAAAATCTCAGTAGTAGCACGGAGTCTGGAATTGTGCCCGGTATATGGCAATAGGCTCACCCCCTATTACATGTGACTCATAACATAAATAGTGAAGAGTGAATGTTACATTGTATTGTGGCCTCTGCCTCTTCAGGGAAAAAAGGCGTGATGTTATGTTATGTTATGCTTTTAGTTTTTTAGTAAAGGAGACCGGTCGTCCAGCAGTGGACTGCGACGAGCTGATGACGACGTTTCCATTATTGTATTTATTTTACACTACCTTTTAGCCGCGGCTTCGCTCGCGTCACAAAAGGATTAAAAGTAGCCTATGTGACATATAGCAATACGCACAGCGCCATCTATACCAATAATTTCGTTTTCCCTCGAGAATATCAAATTTTTCCTGGATAAAAAGTCCCCTATCATTTAATCCAGACTTAACTTCACGTCTGCAAAAATTCAAAACAATCGGTTTAGTAGTTACGGCGTGAAAGTGGAACAAACAAACTCACTTTCCGATTTATAATATTAGTAAGGATAAGGATATTTGATGGGCCGACGTTTGACCACTATCTCGCCTGGTGGTAAGCGATGATGCGGTCTACGATGGAGCACGTCGTCCCATAAGCAACCTATTCACTCGGGCCTTGAAGACACCCTGGTTATACCCTTCAGGAAACACAGACTCTGGCAAAGAATTCCACTTCTTAACAGTACACACAAGGAAGCCTAAAGCGAAGCGCTTCGTGCGTGTGGGTGGGACATCTACCATAGATCGGTGACGCTTCGCGGATTGTCTTGTGGTACGATGATGGAAAGGACTAGGGGGAATCAAGTTGTGCAATTCCCCCGCACACTCACCGACATGTATCCGGTAGAAAAACCGAAATAAAAAAGTATTGGTATAAAGAAAAAAAACACACACACACACATTAAAAAACACACTCAACATACAGGGTGTTCAAAAAAAAAATTGCATTATACAGGGGGTATCAAAAAACAAAAGCTTTACTAAGTGGGGTATAAACGTCCCCAATTCAACCCTCGGGGGGTTAATTGTCAACAAAGTATCGGATATCCGTCGTTAAACTGTTATCAATTAAAGTTTAGAGGGGTGAGAAATACCCTTAGGTCGAGTAGTTGCAAGTGATGCCGCTGAACTAGTGGTCTTCTGTTCGATAGCTTACTTCTTACTAATATTATAAATGTGACAGTTTGTGTGTATGTTAATCACTCAACACGTCAAAATACGTACAGTATTGGAATATGTATCAGAGACATTGTAGAACATACTTTTAAAAAAAAATAACGAGTGGAGATTCTCGCTCGTTCTTCTCCATTCGAATCTACATTTTGGAATAAGCACCTAACTTCACCTAGTTTCACTGACGGACTGACTGACAGACTATTATAATTTTGTATTTGTTGACGTTTCAAAAGTACCAAATTATGGTTTAATAGAAATAAATGCTTTGATTTTTTTGAAATGACTGAAGGAATCGGAATGAAATTTGAAACCGGGGTAGATTATAGTCTGGGACACATATATAGGCTACTTTTTATCCCTCGGGAACGCGAAGCTGTTGGTAGAAGCTAAATCAAAATGACTAGGTATACAAATTGCTTGAATTGGGTACTAGCCAACCAGTCAAATTCAATACTTTTTTCGAACTGTCAAAAACGACAGTTTTCTATGAATTTTGTACGAGATTGTGTATTGTGACGTCACATTTTTTTAGCGTCAAACAGGATATTTATTTCTTAAAAATTTGCTGGAAAAATACTAAAATTAAGTTGGTCATAAAATCAATTAATGAATGCGTCATTATTTTTTTATATTTTATTGTATTGAACAGTCGAAATAATTTATTTTTGAAAAATGAAAATTCTCAATTTCGTTCGAATTACAAAAATAAAAAAAAATGCAATCGCCATAGAAATGTTCTGATACAGCAAACTTTGAAAATTTGCTGACATACGGAAGTGATCCCTCATCCGAGCACTTTAGCACGTATCGAATACAAAGTTACATTTGCACCTAAACTTAGACAAATGTACGCAAAAATGAACCTTAAACTTACCCCAATAAAAACTAATAAGTCATTTCGGCAAGTATAGAAGGTTGTGTCAAATTTTTTGCCAATTTATATTTTGCGGCTAAAGTGATTGAAAGGTACGCAAAAATGAACTTTAAGTCATCTTCATAGGAACTAATAGACCATTTCGACAAGTATAGAACGCTGTGATCAAAGTCCTTTACCGATTTATATTTGCGGTTTATTCGTCAAAGATGTATGCAAAAATGAATTTTATACCTATGTAATAGGAACTAACGATACATTTAGCAAATATATATCGATAAGTATGTTTAAAAATTTGTACCAATTTATATTTGCGGTTTATTCGTTGACGATGTATGCAAAATTGAATCTTAAGTCATTGTTATAGTAACTAATAGAGGACTTCTACAAGTATAGAACGTTGTATTCAAAGTCCTTTACCAGTATATATTTGCGGGTCCTTATATTCAAATGTATAGGAAAATGAACCTTAAAACCATTAAAATAAAGACTACCATATAAGTTTTGATTTTTACAATGTATGTTTGTAATTCAGATATCAGAAATGTAAGCAAAATTACTTCTCTTCTGATGAGTTAGCTCAATTTGCATTTCAAGGTGTTGTTTGCGGGTTTGATTTCCGGGTCGTGTAGTTTATTACATTAATCGATTTTTGATATCGACAGTGGAATAAAATTATTATATATAGAAATAGACTGCCTCATTGGCCGAGTGGTCACAAGTGCGACTGCCGAGCAAGGGGTCTCGGGTTTGATTCCCGGGTCGAACAAAGTAATTTTGGGTTTTTCAAAAATTCACAGTAGTAGCACGGATTCTGGAATTGTGCCCGGTATATGGCAATAGACTCATCCCCTATTACATGGGACTCATAACATAAATAAGTAGTGAAAAGTGGGTGTTACATTGTACTGTGGCATAATGTACTCTGCCTACCCCTTCGGGGATAAAAGGCGTGATGTTATGTTATGTTATGTTATGTAGAAATTCTGTAATTTCACCATAATTAAAAAAAAATAGATCACAATACTATCAGCATAAAGTCGACCGCTCAAAATATAAACTAACCAGATGTATACTCCAAATGACTCACTTCACTACAAAGATATAAACCAAAGACAATAAACAGTGCCCCATCACTATAAAAGGTAACCATAGATAATAGTCGATAGATTTCGCTTATGTCATCAATTCATCATTGATCTGTCATTCTTTCCTTATATGTTATCTGTGGTGTTAGGTTTCAACATCTGTGGTCTATGGCCCAGGTGTTGTTTTGATATTTTATACTGTGGTCGCTTTATTTTAAAATATTTTTGTACCTGGAAACTATTCTCGGTATAGCTCGGTATGATAAGCATAAAATCGCATTTTTTTTAATGTCGTGGCGCATGGCTGTATGTTAGTAGAACTGTGTATTTTTCTTAGTCAAAAAATTATATAATTTCGATTTTATAAAATGATACAAATACTTAAATATTAAAAAAATACAATTTCATTAACTGATCCTACAAAACATTACATCATTTTCGAAATTTTGTAATATTTTTTTTTAAATAATTAAAGTGTATTTTAAAACAAATAATTGAAAAGTATCGTTTATCGTTTCAATAAAAGTATTGAATTCGACTACCTAGTTATCCAATACCATATTATAACTTAAAAACTGCAATGTTCGCAACAAAATTTATCGATATCGATAAATGTTAAGTACAGCTCTAACTGCTGGTCCCAGATGGGCATGGAAATAAGCCGGCAATAATTAATAGCTGAAAGTAAGCGAGCAAGCGATACAGTCAGTAATGCGCGCGTTTCTCGGAAACTGCTCGCCGCAGTATGAAGGAACAATGCAGGGCTTGGCGCGTTTTCCAGTGACGCCGACACGAATCGGTACTGGGATTAGCAATCGACACGATATTTTGACGTCAGTTTTATTTAAGATTGTATAATAGTTGGTGTTTTACGCCGGCGGGCTCTCTCAGTAACAATTTAGTTACTTGTTTTTGTATTTAATATATGCTTTTTTGTTTTTTTATTAATTTACCCCCTTGGTAAATCATCGAATGACTTCTCCCACCTAATTGAGGCGGGAGGGAGTGTCAGACTCTTACTGACTAAAAACCATCCGTACCTACTCCTCCTGCCGAGCCGGAGCCCCGGCAACCCGTTACGTCCTCCGCGGTTCATTTAATATATTCTTAGTAGTGCTAAAAATCAGTGCCATGGACTCAAATCTCCTTGGTCAACCAATGCGTTAAGCTGAACCATTTTCCCTTTGTTGTATTTGAAGTATATTGTTAGCGTAAATAAACGTATTTTCCTTTATTTCTTTTCTTTCTTTCATTTCGATAAATGAAAGTAGGTTTGCTTATTACAGGTCGATGAATAAGTAGGTTTTGAAACTAGCCCTTATTTAGATCGTGAAATGAATAATTCTAAAAATTTCTTGTTGATAAACGATCAAACTTATGTCTTTTATAAACACTTGTCTTACGAAAATAACCAAAATTTTATTAAAACTAAGTAATTCATTATTTATTTATTTATATAAAACCTTACCTAAACTATCATGACAGGACAGGTCTCTCCATTGCGATAGCTAGGCCTTAAAAAACTAAATCTATGTTACGTCCAAATATAACAAAATCATAAAGAAAAACAAAAATTAACAAATTCTTAGGTAAACTAAACTCAATAATCGAAAATACTAAAATACAAATAAAAGAGAAATTTTACAAAACAAAGGAAAAAATAAACAATTACTTTTTTAAATTAAAAAAAAATTATTATAATTTGGTCGTCGCGTAATGTGTCGTGGTGGCTCGGAGGTTTAAGACGCCTGCTTCTCATGCATGAGGGTGTGGGTTCGAAACCTACCAACGGCAAGTACCAATGTGACTTTTTCCAAGTTATATGTACTTTCTAAGATTATTTAGACACCACTAACAAACGGTGAAGGAAAAACATCGTGAGGAAACCTCGGCTTATAATTGCTAATTAAAAGTTTGAAATCGCCAACCCGCATTGAGCAAGCGTGGTGATTAATGCTCTAACCTTCTCCGTGTGAGAAGAGGCTTTGCTCAGCAGTGGGCATTTATAGGCTGTTGATGATGTAATGTGTCGATCGCTCTCGACAGGCTCTCGTGTCGAAAGTAGTGGAAAGTCACAATGGCCGCAAGTTCAACATTTATTAGTTCACGGCAATCAGTATCGCGTAAAGTTTTCTTAACAATGCGTTTGCGATTCGCAGAAACGAGTCATTGGCTCAGTAAGGATTTGACAGATCACTGTATATTTACATCTTTTAATAAAAATAATACATAATCCCTGAAGGACATTACGGCATTACGGCACTTAATGCCACTGTACAATGTAACACCCACCATTCATTATTTATGTTATGAGTCCCATGTAATAGGGGGTGAGCCTATTGCCATATATCTATCGGTCACAATTCCAGACTCCGTACAACTACTGAGATTAAAAAAAACCAGTAATACTTTGCCCACCCGGGAATCGAACCTGAGACCCCTTACCTGGCAGTCGCATTTGCGACCACTCGGCCAACGAGGCAGTCAAAGATAAAATTCATAGTTAATTAATAATCGATTTCGGTCTAAATTATTTGGATTTGACTTCATTCTATGACTGACTGGTTATTTACCCACTCTGCTCGGTGCCTATTGATCGCAGCGTGATGTTTTATAGCCAATAACTTGTTCTATAGCTTACTTTTAAGAAAACAAAAATTGTTTTTGACAATCACTTGTCGGTGTTTTTCGGGAGTTGCTTTTACATCTTATACTATTATATAAAGCGGAAGAGTTTGTTTTTTAGTTTGTTTGTTTGAACGCGCTAATCTCCGTAACTACAAGTCTGATTTGAATAATTCTTTTTGTATTGGATAGCGCATTTATCGAGGATGGCTATAGGCTATAAAACATCACGCTTCGACCAATAGGAGCCGAGCAAAGCGGAAGTAGCTAGTCGTATATATATGTATATAGGTTTATCGATACGAAAATATCGATACAATACAGCGCTCCACGAGTTGTGGCCTGTGAAATCGTTAGGCGTCGCAGTGTTACGGTACTTCACTGATTTTATTAACTCGCATCAAATTGTTTATCGTAGCTCGAAATTGTTTTCTTATTTTAGAATTGTTTTTTGTCGATATTGTTTTTATTATTGTGTTTCACTACACTAAAGCTTTTGCTCTTTAAAATAGTTAGAATGGAATCGTTGTTTTTGTGTCTAAAATAAGAAACCTCAATTACAGATGTTTTTGTTATTGAAAAGTTTAATTTTATGGAGTAGCTAGCTGTTGCCCGGGACTTCGTCCGTGTAGAATAATGACTTCTGGCAGAATTTATGTTTTTGAAATGATTTATGTCCGGAATGATCTCAAAAAGTGCTGCATGGATTTGCTTCAAATTTTGCATGAACATTACTAACTAGTCGGATCAACATATAGGCTACATATTATCACGCTATCATCCACGGGGAAGAAGCACTATTACTAGGTACTTAATCAATTCTGACGACATTCGTTACCATAGAATATCCCTTGATAAAGACTAATTTAAAAGCATAAATTCTGCCAGAAGTCATTATTCTACGAGGACGAAGTCGCGTGCAACAGATAATCCTTACTAGTCCTTACTAATATCCTTACTAATATTATAAATCTGAAAGTGAGTTTGTTTGTTTGTTCCACTTTCACGCCGTAACTACTCAACCGATTGCTTTGAATTATTGCAGACGTAAAGTTAGAAGTCCGGATCAAATAATAGGGTACTTTTTAATCCGGAAAAATTGATATTCCCGAGGAAAAACAAAAGTATTGGTATAGATGGCGCTGTGTGTATTGGTATATGTCACATAGGCTACTTTTAATTCTTTTGTGACGCGAGCGAAGCCGCGGGTAAAAGCTAGTTGGTATATATATGATTTGACTTTGACTTTGATGATGGAAGCAGCGGTAGATGTTAATTTGTAGTTGTAAAGTTCAACTTACCTTGCATCTAAGAATATAAGGCGCATGTCTAAAGAGGCTCTGAACATGAACATATTGGAGTGTAGTTTCAGTTCTGTGACGGCAGATGGCGGTAGTGAGTGTCCGACTGCGATGAGGCCGAGCGGTGCCCATCCTTCACCGAACCGCCGCGCTCGGAGGTACCCTGAACAGTGTATTACCTGGAATTGATGTGATCGGTTAGATTCAGTCGAGTCATCGACAAACACAGAATTAGTCAGTCCAAGTTCCCAGAACTCCCAGACCTTATTTATTTATGTATTTAATTATTCATATAGTACAGCACAGAGGACAACATATAGGTATAAAAGTCAAGTACAAAGGTACTAATTATTTCTGTTATAATTTCTTCCAGTAGACCTGAGACAGGAAAAGCAATCTAAACATAAGACACAGTGTGTTACAGAAGAGAAATAATTACAATAATAAATAAATAAATATGGTATCAAAATACATGTAAAAAAACTACATTATAAAAAAATAATTTAAGTATAAAAAAATTAAAAGTAACCCTTAACCGCCGAGCATGCATGAAAAGATTGATGACTGTTGATGAAGCGAAAGAGGTACCTATGTAGGAATCGTTGTAATTGGCGTTCCCTAGTCTGTGCCTATCCCCATGAAAGACAGGCGTAAAGTTATGTATGTATGTATAAAAAAAAACTAAAAACTATTTTCTGATGGACAAGATTAAACAGTTGGAAATATCGCAAAACCTGCATATATTTTGTTCAGAATATTGAACCGCTTTTTATATAGGCCATATAAAAAAAAATATAAATATAAATACCGGGTCCAGACCCGGTTTATTTTCTAAATAGATCAAACTAACACGTGTGCAAACCCGCCAAATGAAAATGGATTATACAAGCCGAAATTGTTGTCGTCTAATTTAATTTTTTTCATATGGCATAGATAATAAAAGTCCTGATTTCTATGCTGAGCACTTGGCCTTTCTGCACCGTGTACACTACACTATTATTATTATTATTTAAGTATTTTTCTTATTTTAAATTTTAGTTACGGTGCTAATAAACTGTTTTTCTATCTTTCTTCTTTCCTTTTTATGTTTGTTAATACGTTAATACTGAAAATAAAGAATCTCATAAATTGATAATAATTATTACTGTCTTTCGCGGCTATTTTTAAATTAATGATTACATGAATTTTATGAATAAGCCGTTATTTATTTTTAATCAATTTACTGTTTCTCACAATAGTCTTTACAAAAACCATCAAGATTCCACCAAATAGGTATATTTCGCTTCATCTACATTCATTTTGAATCCAATTGAGCAAAACAGTTATCCCCAATTGTCCCCTAATCTTCTAAATCCCTTCAATTACTATGGAATCTAAGAAAACAACTTCCCCAGCGGCATAATACCCTATTATAAGCCCCTAGCGTATGTAAAAAGACAATAGCGCCCTCTACCCCTAACGCGCAACGCGTGGCACTATTGTTTTAACGCTTTGAATGTTGATTTAAAATTTTTTTATTAATTTTCTAGTTCTCATGTGGGAGAAATGTTTTTATGGTTCTTAATTGGTTTTTTTTTGTCTGGGTAGTGATGTGTGTAAGATTTATTTCATTTTTATATGTAAAGCGGTTTAACGAAAGCGATTCTACAAAAGGATTCTAACCTATGGAGTTTCTTGCTCGTTCTTCTCCATAGGAATCTACACCTTGGAATGAGAACACTTTGAATTTGTTGTTGACGTTCAAAAGTGCCTTTCTGATCTAATTGAAAAAAATGATTTTGACTTTTTTTTAAATCAATGTCTTTCGTCGTATATCAATAATAGAGGTAAGTAGTTGCAGAAAAAAAAAGTTGATAATATTGGTCATCAAGATTAAGAGTGTGTACCAAATATCAGACCGATCTGTCGTCAGGAAGGGGGTGACATTCCAATCACTAAAGACAGGGGGCAAAATAAAACCGTTTGATAATAACAAGTATGTGAGAGCCATGCTTCGGCACGAATGGGCCGGCTCGACCGGAGTGATACCACGGCCTCACAGAAAACCGACGTAAAGCAACGCTTGCGTTGTGATTCGTCGTGTGAGGGAGGTTACCGAAATCCCAATTACCCTCCCCTTCCCCAATCTCCCCAATCCCTGAATCCCCAACGATCCTCAAACTCCTAATCCCCAAAAAGCCGGTGACGCACTTGTAACACCTCTGGTGTTCCAGGTGTCCATGGGCGACGCCGATTGCTTATCATCAGGTGATCCGCCTGCTCGTTTACCGGTTTATGTCATAAAAAAAATAAAACATACCATTTTTTAAAAAAATAACGGTAATTTACTTACTTTGTACCCTGAAGTTGTGAGTCCAGCGTTTCGTTTTGCGAGTACACATTTCATTCGGATGAAGAATGCTCTTTCACACTCAATGTCCACTGTCGGACCCCACGTGCCACCCACTGGGTACCTAAAAATACATACTGTAGTAGCTTATGCTTAAAATTCGTATTCGTCTTTGCACGGACCTCTCACTCATCGGTAATCTCGCTCTTCTATTGGCTATCCTTTTCTATCCATTGATCATATTGTTAATAAAGTTCTGTTCCAAATAATGAAACGCTATTGGCTATAATTTAGGCTATGTTATTGGTGTATAAATTTCTAAATGTTTTTTTTTTAAACGTTGCCCCACACTAGGATTTTCTCCTGTGTCGTGGGTGCGTTTACAAACATACAAGTTCACATACACAATGACACCCAGACCCGAAACAACAATTTGTGGATCACACAAAGTGTTGTTCCGTGCGGGAATCGAACCCGCGACACGTTGCACGGCAGCCGGTTGCCCAGCCACCGCACCAACCGTGCAGTCTTTATTTTTAATTTAATAGTTTTAATTGGTTAATGTACAAAATTAGTTGTAAGTAGCACTAGTACCAATTTTTGTATAAAAACAACCACCTCCGGCTAATAAATTCATTCGTTCTACGACAACAAGTTGTTTTATTAATAACAACAAGATCTCCAAAAATCCTTCGCTTAGGTTAGGAATTTTACGAAATTCTTCCTTATTTTTAAGACTACAAGAACGATAGGGTAGATGACTAATTTTTATTTCAATGTCCGTCTGGTAGATTATTTTAAAACATTACACACGTATTTTTTATTTTCGGTATGTTGATTTGAAATATCGCGTGACGTCACTTTTGTGTACGTTTTATACCTACTAAAAAAAATTGCTGAAAAACTACTAAAATTTAGTTGGTCATAAAATCAATTAATGAAACTGTGATTATTTTTTAACATTGTATTGTATTGAACAGTCAAAATAATTTATATTTGATTAAGGAAAGTAAGTACCCAATAAAATTACCAAGTTTCGTGACGATACAACAAATAGAAGTGTGTGAAATCCAGATCCTTAGATTTTGTTACATAGTTACAACGACTTAGACTTACCCAAGACTGGGATACTGATGTGGTTGGTACGAATGAGGGTGCTGAAGACTGAGTACTGCCGTCATCTCCTCGTGGTCTGATTGGTGTATGTACTCGTATATCGAGTTCCCCGTTAACTCTACCTATGATAAAACAATATGTTTCTATAAAGCTGTATAAATGTTCTATAGAGCTTTGCAACAATGCATATGCCTTTTATCCTCAAAGGGGTAGGCAGAGGTGTACATTATGCCACTGTACAATGTAACACCCACTTTTCACTATTTATGTTATGAGTCCCATGTAATAGGGGGTGAGCCTATTGCCATATACCGGGCACAATTCCAGACTCCGTGCTACTACTGAGAATTAAATAATACCTAGTAGTACTTTTCCCGACCTGGGAATCGAACCCGAAACCCCTTGCCCGGCAGTAGCACTTGCGACCACTCGGCCAACGAGGCAGTTTTATGTGTATAAGGCAGGAAATGAGTGGATGGGTCAACTGATAGTAAGAAATCGGCGTCACCCATGGACAGACAAAAAACAATAGGTCTGAACCTTGAACTACAATTTTCAACCCTCCTGCCTAGTACCTCATCTTAAGTGTGGGAGAGCCATGCTTCGGCATGAATGGGCCGGCTCGACCGGAGTGATACCACGGCCGAGCAGAAGACCGTTGTTAAACAACGTTGCGTTGTGTTTCGTCTTGTGAGTGAGGTTACCGGAGACCCAATTCCCCCCCCCCCCCCTTTCCCCAATCCCTGAATCCCCAACAATCCTCAAATTCCTAATCCAGAAGGCCGGTAACGCCTCTGGTGTTCCAGGTGTCCATGGGCGACGCCGATTGCTTACCATCAGGAGATCCGTCTGCTCGGTTACTGGCTTATCCCATAAATAAAAAAAAGTATAGACCTGTAGAGGAAACTCATAGTCCAGCTGTAGTCTGTCAAGGGGTACTCATGTTGATTCCAATTTTCCAAAACTTTATTAAATATTGTTGCAAAACTAAGACTGCAGTAATTTTGAATCCATTGAGACAAGAAATGTGTGTTCGCCCATGAAGAAGAAATCTATACGTTAAAACGAGCAAATACCCTCACTAGAGAACTGACCGACAGGCTAACACATGTAATTTTGTTTGTTTACGTTAAAAACTGCCTTCTTATTGAAATAAATGACTTTGGCTGACTTTAACTGAGTTTGACTTGAGTAAATAGCTTCAATAGAGAACTGACCAACAGGCTAATAATTTTTTTGTTTGTTTACGTTAACACTGCCTTACATTTCTAATTGTAATAAATGAGTTTGGCTGACTTTAAATAACTTTGACTGATTTTAAGTTTTGACTTAGATAAAAGGCCTCTAATAACTCAACAATGTACAATAGCTTCTCAGGTGTTGTCGGTGGAAAATCGCTTACCATCAAACGATCCGTTTGCTCGTTCATATAAAAAGAAGTTTAATTTAACTCACTTGACTCAAACCAAGATGTACCGAAGCTGTTTCACTAATATACATGATCTTGCCATCAGGGGAGACGACAAATATGAAGCCATCCAGGGTCTGCAGAAGATGGGAGCCCAACTCTCGTATGGAAAGCTCCCGGGGCTGAGGAGGGGGAGGTGCTGCTCCCCACGCGTCTCCTAAACCTGGACAAATAAGGGAATGGGGAGGTTAAAACACAGGTAGAGGAAATCATCCAATGACTTCTGTCGCCCGGGTGAGGCGAGAGGGAGTATCAGACTCTTACTGACTAAACACCTCCCCATTCGTAATTCTGCTCCGAGCTGGACCGCGATATGTCATTGCGCTTAACACGCCACGTCTTAACATAGGTTAGATGCTGGTGGAAGCTCCGGAGCAGGTCTTTTAGAGGACCCGACGTATAGTTGCATATGGTGGTCAGTTGAATTCATTCATTTCATTAGCCAAAAGGTTTTTTTAAGCTATCTGCTATCTGATATCACCATCATCATCATCAACAGCCTATAGGACCTCCAATCAAACAGTTTACAAATATTTCAAGGCTTCATAAATAACATAATGTAACATCGAAGCGGTAGGCAGAGGTGCACATTACGGCACTTAATGCCACTGTACAATGTAACACCCACTTTTCACTATTTATGTTATGAGTCCCATGTAATAGGGGGTGAGACTATTGCCATATACCGGACGCATTTCTACACTCCGTGCTACTACTGAGATTTTTAATACTATGGCCGACCCAGAAATCACCACTTGCCCGGCATTCACTCTTGCGACCACTCGGCTATAATGAGGCAGTCAAGGCTACATCATTCGACTATAAAACTAAATCCTAGATCATATAAAATCTAGACTCACCATCAGGAAAAACCTGTCGCATTTTCAAGTAACTGGTCGTCAGCCGTATCACGGATGCCTTATCCAGTTGTGACGTGATCGCGGACGGCAGTGGGAGGAGCTTGGCAAGTTCTAAAAACTCTGCGTTCTCTTTCTCACGTCGTGAACGAGCAGCATTCTTGCTCTTTTCTTTCATTATGGCAACCGCGTCCAAGGGACGAGCGCTGTCCTTGTGACAAGCTGAAACAAACCTTACTATTAGGAGATATAGTACAATTGGGATGATGACAGGGTATGAAAATTAAAAATCGAATTAGTCCGTCAGTTAGATAATTAAAAAATATTAGACACGTATTTTTTTATTTTGTCGTATAATAAAACAATACTGAGATAAAACGAATCAAAGTTTAGGAGTGGGGACTAAAACGTCATTTCTACGTATAAAACGTACATAGAAGTGACGTCACGCGACATTTCAAATCAATATATCGTCGAAAGTATTCGTTTCTGCAAGAAAATAAAAAATACGTGTCTAATGATTTAAAATAATCTACCAGTTACCAGACGGATATTAAAATAAAAATTAGGCATCTACCCTCAGATTATTTTTGGTATTTACTAGCTGTGGTGATGGCAGAAAATTTAGTCACCACCCTTATTCTTCTTGTAGATGTGCTATACCCGACTAGGAGACTAAAATTCTTATTAGTTTGTATGTAACTCGTACACAATCACCATAAATAAATCCCCAAATTTGTTCATACAAAAGTAGTCTCTAAACATCGGAATTAAGGTATATAATGGAGTAAGTGGAGAGCGGTCACCGGTGACCGCTTGGGGGCTCGCAGAACAGAGATATATATTTTTTAAATAATCTGCGTCACCCATATACGCCTGGAACACCTGAAGCGTTACAAGTGCGTTACCGGCCTTTTAGGATTAGGAATTTGAGGATTGTTGGGGAGACTGGAATTGTCCCTGGTATATGGCCATGGGCTCACTCCCTATTATATAAATAGTGAAAAGTGGGTGTTATATTGTACCATTAAGTGCCGTAATATGCACCTCTGCCTACCCCTTCGGGGATAAAAGAAGTGATACTGTGTTAGCTCTTTCTTCTTAAAAACCTCGACACATAATTTAAAAAATTCACAAAATATAAAATCCCTGACCTACGCCACGTGAACGAAAAGAGTATGACGTCATTATACATTCAAAAAATTAACATCGAGTTAACGATGTTACATGCATATTTATGAAGGCTCTAAGGCTCTCTACCTTTGCTTCAGCGATGAAAAAAAAACAAAACCATAGACTATATTATAAGGGGTAGGCTGCAAAGCTACGATTGACAGCTGATATTTTCTTAACCAATTTAAAAAAAAATATGTCAACGATTGTCTCGTTATTGGGTGAATGAGCTGAACTGATTTTGACGCGGTTCTTCAAAGGGAAGGAATCTTCAAAAAACGGATTTTTTATAAAACGTAGATTAATTAAAATTATTATCGATTAGCTTCTGCCCGCGACTTCGTACGCGCAATCCCGTTTTCTCCCGTTCCCGTAGGATTTTTCTGTCTTACGAACCTCCTAATAATAACAAATACAACAAAAAAGAATTAGTAAAATCGGTCCAGCCATTCACGCGTGATGCCGTGACCAAGGGTAAAAGGGATTCATCTTTATATCACTACATAGTATAAAACAAAGTCGCTGTCCGCCGTCTGTCTGTCTCTATGTATGCTTAGATCTTTAAAACTACGCAACGGATTTTGATGCGGTTTATTTTAATAAATAGAGTGATTCTTAGGGAAGATTTATATGTATAATACATGCATAATATATTAAAGAAACATTGATAAATTTATGTCTATTGATCGTAGCGTGATGTTTTATAGCTTATAGCCATCCTCGATAAATGCGCTATCCAAAACAAGAAGAATTATTCAAATCAGACTTGAAGTTACGGAGATTAGCGCGTTCAAACAAACAACCAAAAAAACAAACTCTTCCGATTTAGGTATATAATAGCATTTTTTTTTAAGGGGGGAAGATCATCGAATGACTGCTCCCGCCTGGGTGAGGCGGAAGGGAGTGTCAGACTCTTACTGGCTAAAAACTACCCCGTTCCTTCTCCTGCACGTCGAGCCGGAGCCCCGGTTACCCGTTAGGTTCTCCGCGACTTATATAATAGTATAAGATGTATTTTCATTATATTTTCTAGTTAAAATCGTACATGGAGAAAAATGTTCATGCGACCGTAACCTAGCCTTATGGTGGCGCGGCGGGAAAACCACATCGGAATGAATTATTCAAAGATATAGAGTGCGGAGTGCGGAGTGTAGAGGAGTGCTAATACTTACAAATGATATCTGACGTCATGACAAATACGAGATGTTCTGTAGTTAATACTTATTTTTGCTTCTATTCTGTCTCCGTAATGTTGTGTGGTTGGAAAGAAGAGATTTATTTGATTACTAGCTTTTACCCGCGGCTTCGCTCGCGTCACAAAAGAATAAAAAGTAGCCTATGTGACATATACCAATACACACAGCGCCATCTATACCAATACTTTTGTTTTTTCTTGGAAATATCATTTTTTTCCGGGATAAAAAGTACCCTATTATTTAATCCGGACTTCTAACTTTACGACTGCAAAATTTCAAAGCAATCGGTCTAGTAGTTACGGCGTGAAAGCGGAACAAACAAACAAACTCACTTTCCAATTTATAATATTAGTAAGGATTGTTATTTTTTATAGAACAAGCCGGCAAACGAGCATAGGAATCACCTGATTGTAAGAAATCAGCATCGCCCATGGATACATCAAACTCCAGAGGCGTTACAAGGGATTAAGGATTATGAAATAAGCGCTTTGACTTTGACGCGTTACCGTAAAACTCACACACACCTGTGTGTTTCATTCGGCAATGTTTCAGCGAATAAACAGCAAAGATGTTTATTTACAGTCGTAGTAGTTACTTAGTATGTAGCAGCTTGTACTATTGACAAAGTTCACAGTAGACTTTTAAACCAAATTCCTGTGGCAAATTCGCTATCCACCGGGCCTTTTCCTTGCAGTCGCGTGACCCAAGAGCAAGCGAATATCGCCTAATGACGGTCAACCGCCAACTTTGTCGATTGTACTGGTAATAGCTGAGCCAGTAATGAGCTCTGAAACAGAGCCGTATTAAACTCAATCGTTGAAAATAATCCGGTCTATGGTCGGTGTTATTATTGGTTGAAGTTAGATTAACTTCAGGGCTGGCTAACACCTGGAGCCGCGGAAGACTTAACGGGTTACCGGGGCTCCGGCTCGAAGTGCAGGAGAAGGAACGGTGGTGTATAGTCAGTAAGAGTCTGACACTCCCTCCCGCCTCACCCAAGTCTGGACACGGCTGCCGTGTAACGTGTCGCGGGTTCGATTCCCGCATGAAACAACACTTTGTGTGATCCACAAATTGTTGTTTCGGGTCTGGGTGTCATGTGTACGTGAACTTGTATGTTTGTAAACGACTCAGGAGAAAATTATAGTGTGGGACAACGTTTTTAAACGAAAATAAAAAAAAAATAAAGCAGGAGAAGTCATTGGATGAATTCGGCACGAATGGGCCGGCTCGACCGGGCGGATACCACGGCCGAGTAGAAAACCGCCGTGAAACGGTGCTTGCGTTGTGTGAGTGAGGTTATCGGAGGCCCAATTACCCGGATTCTCATTCCCCCAATTTCCCTATCCATGAATTACGAACAATCCTCAAAAGGCCGGTAACGCACTTGTAACGCCTCTGGTGTTTCAGGTGTCCATGGGCGACGCCGATTGCTTACCATCAGGTGATACGTCTGCTCGTTTACCCAATAGAAAACTATTGAAGGCAAATTCTCTGCTATCATGGTCGGTTGAGAGACCGGTTATTTATTTCGGCTGAGTATTTGCGTTCCTTAGCGAAATCACAAAGAATTAAAAAAAAATCACAAGCTTTTCACTGTAGATCGTCGAAGTATGTTTTTGTATTTCCAATCTTTTTCAAATTCAAAGTCAAAGTTAAAATCATTTATTTCAATTAGACCAGGAAGGCAATTTTGAACGTCAGAACAAAATACATATTTAAATATTAAGTAATAAGAAAAAATGTCAGTCTGTAGGTCAGTCCTCTAGTGAAGCTATTTGATCGTTCCTAAGTGTAGATTCCTATGGAGAAGAACGAGCAAGAAACTCCATAGTCTTTCGTTGAGTTCAATAATGTGAGAACAATATAATACAATGTAATCTTACTAATATTATAATTATAAATGCGAAAGTTTGATAGAAGGGATCCGTGTGTTTGGAATAGGGTTAGATTATGGTCGGGAATCACACATAAGCCGCTGGCAAAATCATAATATATCTATATATACCTCTATATAATTCTTCTGTGAGTGTGTATGTCACTGAACTTCTCTCAAACGACTGGACCGATTTTGATGAAATTTTTTGAGTGTGTTCAAGGGGATCTGGGAATGGTTTAGATTCACAAATCAGCCCGGCAGATGGCGCTGCAGTTGGTATTTAGGTTATTTATCTATACCTATTATTATTTGCAGGACAACGTCTGTCGGGTCCGCTAGTTCTATATAATAATGAATCTCTTTTCCCTTGGTCACGGCATCACGCATGAATAAAACATAAACATAAAACATAAAATGTTTATTTTTCAAAAGGAAAAGTTTTACAATTTTGTTGTATCCTGGACCTCACACTAGGATTCCCTGTGTCGTGAGGCCCAGGCTTCCTAACAAACAGTACAAAAAGAAAAGTTATCATAATGCTTAAATATAAATGTGTATTTTATGTGTGTGTGTATTATATATAGTGAGTAAGTAGGTAAAAGTGTGTGTTGTGCGTGTGTGTGTGCGTGTGTGCATCAGTTTTATGTAGTGCGTGTGTATGTGTGCGTATGTGCGTGTGTGCATCTGTTTTATGTAGTGCGTGTGTATGTGTGTGTGTGTGTGTACGTATCCATGTTGTTTTTTTTTTTATGATTATTGTTACTAACTTAAGAGGTTTTCAATCATGTTGTAATCCATGGTGAGAAGCCACATTTTAACCGTGTTTTACATACATTATGGGTGAGTTGTAAAATTTTGAGTTGGTTATTAAGTTTGGAGTAAATGTGTGGTCCCATATAGCCGTACGCCCTTCTCTCGACTGTTTTACGACAGCGGCTCTTTTCCCATCGTACTCTACGACCAGACTGGATACAAGTGCTAATAGCGGTTTTATGGAATCTTAGAGTAGTTGACAGTATGTACAGTGATCTAACTCTGAGAACCCCGGTTTCAGTGTAAAGTGAATCAGTGGGTATCGGAAAGGCCTTCCATAAGCAACTTTGAGCAGGGCGCGTTGAGCCCTTTCGACTTTCAGCAACGAAGTTTTACCAGCCGCACCCCACACTGTTATACAGTAACCGAGAATGGATTGACAGAGTGAATAATAAATCATTTTCAAAACAGTATTGTCCGCAATTTTACTAAGTTGCTTAAATACACGAATTAGTTTTCGGACCCTACCACTTAAAGTATTCACATAAATGAGCCAGGATAGTCGGTTATCCAAAAATACCCCCAAATATTTGATCGAATCTGTTTGTTCGATGTATGGGCATGTACAATTTCCTGGACTTGTGCAAGAGTGTAATTGTATACTGCTGTATCGGTTAGGAGCCGAACGCTTTGAGATTGCAAAATTAATTGCTTTAGTTTTAGCCACGTTTAGAGTTAAGAGATTATGTTGAAGCCAGCTCGCAATAGCTCTAACCCCAGTCCCCACTGAACACCTGACATCTTCCCAAGACTTCCCACAAAATATTATAGCAGTATCGTCCGCATACGTAAATATTCTTGCTTGAGGGATATTCAAGGAGCATAATCCATTTATGTAAATGATAAATAGAGTAGGCCCCAGAACACTACCCTGGGGCACACCGAATTGAACTGAATTTAGTTCGCTAGAATAATCCCCCAGAACCACTCGCTGCGTTCTGTTATTCAGATAAGATGCAAACCAGTCAAGAGCAACACCACGAATCCCCAGTAGCGACAATTTCTTAATTAAGATTTTTCTAGATATAGTGTCAAACGCCTTGGCGAGGTCCAGGAATACGCCAGTACATGCCTGTCCTTTGCCTAGATTGAGGCTGATATAGTCGACTAAGTTTGTTACTGCATCCTCCGTGGACCTCCCCGTGCGAAAACCATATTGATTGTCTGACAGTAATTTATTTTGCTCTAGGAATCCACTGGAGTCTCCTGTTTACAACCTTCTCTAGAATTTTCGAAAGAGCTGTTAGAAGAGAAATTGGACGATAATTTGAAGGAATCTTCGAATCCCCGCCCTTAAATATCGGACATATATTTGCAATCTTTAAGCAATCAGGCACGGTCCCTTACTTAGGCTTATATTGCATAAGAAGGTTATCGGCTTAACCAAAACATGTGAGCACTGTTTTAAAAATGTGTTATTTATGCCATCGTAACCTGGTGCTGGTGTTGATTTGAGGTGGGTTATAATTGAGGATATTTCTTTTTCATCAGTTGGAGTAAAGAAAAATGAGCAGGGCTATGGTTAACCGTACAATATTGCTCATTACGGGCTAAGTCATCCTCCGTTGAACCTAATAGATTAAGTGTTTCTGCAGCAAGGTTTTTACCAACAGTTGCAAAATAAGTGTTCACTGAATTTAATATGGGAACAGGATTGTCACTGTTAGAGACAAGCTCGGTATGTTCATTCTTTTTTTTCTTAATGTTACAGATAGTCTTTATCTCGCTCCACAGTTTTTTACAGTTGCCCTTATTTTTTATTAGGAGTGAACGGTAATAATCCCTTTTAATATTAGAGAGTATATTGTTACAATAATTTCGATATTTCCTATATTCCTCCTGAATAACGAGATTGTCACGATTTTGTTGTTTCTTAGCGTTTGTGTGCAAAAAATCACTGGCTGGATTGATTTCACTAATTCATTTTTGTTGTATTTGTTATTATTAAGAGAAGGTTCTTAAGACAGAAAAAATCCTGCAAATTCTACGGGAACGGGAGAAAACGGGATTGCGCATACGAAGTCGCGGGCAGGAGTTAGTATTCATAATTTTTTTTTACACAATTCACATTTTCGTAAAAAAATGGTCTACTTAATTTGTATCATTTAAAAAATATTATGTATAAATGTAGTCTAACATAATTTATCATTGAAAAAGATGTACCTAACAAAGTTCTTTTATCAAAAAGTAAAAGATTTTATTAATCACGATTTATTTCTTAGTAAAAATATTTGCACCCCTAGTATTGGCGGCAAACGACATATGGCAGTCATTTATATTCTGTGCAATAAACTAACGCCCGATCGGATTCCGCACGTTCCATTTACGAATTTTGCGCGCGAATATTTTTGTTTTACAACCAGCCAGTAGTAATGCGGATTTGTAATCAAGGAGTTTGTTATTTGTGTATTGGTTTGTTTCTATTTTTTTTTTATTTACAAATTCTTGCTGTTTATTTTTATTTAATTATACCTAAATGAAAAAATTACTATTTTTAAGGTGGCAAAATTTTATTCACTTAGGTTTTCAAGAAAATCTCATTAAATATTTATTTTATTTTATTTATTTTAATACATGCTTGTTGATTTAGGTACACATTTCACATAGGCTTCCATAAAATTTAAAAACAATACTCACAAAAATCATAATCGGAAGCGCATTTAGTGAACAACTTCCTTCGTGGATACTTCATTTTAATTTAAAACAAAAACACAAACTACACAAAAAATACTAAAACCACAAAAATAAAATCTCCAATCGCCTTTGAACACGTAGGCGACTTTACAAAATGGCATAAAATTAAAAAAATGCACTTTACGCGAACAGGTTCACATCTATACTGACTGGCTGCATCCACCTTCTTCCTTAGTCCGTTTCGGAAATAAAAAAAAACAATTGACAGGTACGACAAAAGCGCGGGTAAATACATTGACAATAAAAGACACTGTTACGTTACGTCACCATAGTTGTTAATGTATGGGGCGGTGTTTAGGAACGGATAATAAAATAAAACAAAGCCGAGTAAACTATGCTTAGATTTTAATATGGATGTAGATTATTGGATCTGTTTGTTTATAATTTCGATATTTTTGTGTTTTAAATAGATGAAAATTGTAATTAATTTATTGATCAAGATGAAATAAATTGTAAACACTTTGTATCACCATAGTGCACGTAGACTAAGACCAGGTTCGTATAAGTCTTTAAGTAAACCCTTTTTCCAATTGTTGACAAAAATGACAGATGTGAATGACTCTTAACTTTAATCTTTTTACTTGCGAGAAGATCACGTAGGCTTATTAACCAATTAGTTTACTAGGAAATTTGTCTCAGGTCTCCCTTACTTTAACTAAGAAACTTATCGCCGTCGATGTAGCTTAACGGCCGACATGAGTAACCAGTCTCAATTCAAAATCTGTGGATTAAGATCGATTTTTGTCAGAAGCTCCGTACAACTGACAGCTCGGTTGGTGCGGTGGTTGGGCAACTGGCTGCCGCGCAACGTGTCGCGGGTCCGATTCCCGCACGGAACAACGCTTTGTGTGATCCACAGATTGTTGTTCCGGGTCAGAGAGTAGTTTTTGTGAACTTGTATGTTTGTAAACGCACGCACTACACAGGAAAAAATTCTAGTGTAAAAGTGAAAACATCAAACTTTAAAAGCTCACATTTTAAAAACTAATGTCAAAAATGAAATGATGAAAATCACACAACGCTTAGTAGCTCAAAGGACCATAATTATATTGGAGCGTAACTCCCGACAGTAAAAATGTTATGCAGATGTTGAAGCTTATATCGATTGTTATGTTAAATGAGTAGACAACCGATTTGTTATTTAGGTTTGATTGCTACTGGAAAAATAATCTGTTAAAATGTAATAAAAATTGCCTTAACTAAACTTCAAAATCGATTCAGCCAATCTTGATGTAGTCACGCACAAACATACATTCAGGTCAAACTGAGAACATCCTTTTTCGTTTAAGTCGTTTACAAATTACTTCAAATGCCACCTATCTTAGCTTAGGGGTTTCTTTAAGGAGAGGGTGCTGAAAACGGGCATAAATAGGTCTCCGTAATCTTTGGGGAAATTAGACATTATTTTATGATATGTCTTAACTTTTAAATATATTTCATAAACACGAACAAAGCCATGAGTATTGCTAGATAAAACTAGTATACAATAAAAATACACGTTAAAAGGAAAATATTAAACTACGACGCCATATTACAAGCTGAAGATTATTCGTTATCTATTCTAAGGTATTATTAATTTGTTCTTTACATAAACATCAGTCCTGTTGGTAGCGAAGGGGTAGACAGAGGAACAGTTATTTAATACATAACATCACGCCTTTTATCCACGAAGGAGTAGGCAGAAGTGCACACTACGCCACTTAGTGCCACGGTTTAATGTAACACCCACTTTTCACTATTTATGTTATGAGTCCAATGTAATATAATTAAGATATAAGAAAACATGATAACATAAAATTAAAGTACAGAGTGCGGGCGGTACATTGAAAATTTTAAAAAGTTATATTTTGAAAACTGTTTAATAATCCCAATGTAAACCACTCAAAGTCGTTTACATTAGGATTAAATAGTTGCGTTTATTGCAACTCAATATACAGATGATGGTCACTGGATTATGATAGTGCTTAGCACTTAGCGGCCTTTTACAGCCATTGCAGCATTTGTAATGAACAAGCACCCGCGCGGTTTCACACGCTCTGCTCCGCGCCTATTTTGCAGCGTGATGTTTTATAACCTATAATCTTCCTTGATAAATGTACTTACTATCCAACACAAAAATAATTGTTCAAATGGGACCACAAGTTTAGGAGATTAGCGCGTTCAAACAAACAAACTTTTCAGCTTTATATAATTATAAATATTTTAAAAAATCTGCTTTAAGTTAAAATTGCAGTTAGTTTACATATTTCTGATTAATCCTTTGAGAAATAAATAAATTCAAACCATCAGGTTTGATTATCAAATCACGCGATGACACATCAACATCGCATCACGTAGTGTAAGCTAAGTATATTTTGTTCTCAACACTTGACGCCCGTATAATTTGAAGTTTTGACAAATTCGATTGATTCGTATTGTTTATTGATAGTTTTGTTGCTATTGTTATCTCTTTCTAATCCCTTACAGATATGATCTAAGCAAAAGATGTTACACACGTCTGCGGGTCGCATTATGCGTGTTGTCTTGTCGTCATTTGTTTTTTTTAGTGTCACGCAACTCTATGGAATGACCGATACGATATATTTATGGACTAAGGACTCGTACACAAAACTGTGATGCGATACGAATTCGCAACGTAAAAAATTACGATGCGAATTACTGCGATGCGATTTCGTGCGACAAGGCGTTTCCCATGGTGACCATTCCTTCGACGACCGTCAACCGTACTAAACGTTTTTTGAATTGAAGACTAAATCGTGACATGGATCGTAATTCTGTTATTGCTTAGGAAATACAGAAAAAAGAAGCAAAGATTTTGGGAAGATAAGATTATGGTGCGCGATGCGAATCAATTCGCAAGTTCTTGTGATGCGTAGAGGGAGCTCGCACATTTTTGCGATGTGACGTCGCATCGCAGTTTTGAGTAGGTACTAGCCCTAACGGCGATTTTAAATAAATTTCTATTAACTACTAAGTTAAGAGTGGTGGAGGTGGAGGATACTTAACGATATTTTATAAAATAGGAGGCAAACGAGCTGACGGATCACCTGATGGTAAGCGATCAGCGCCGCCCACCAGATAAATCTTATTCTCGATTCTCATCAACCTATAGTTAAGTGACAACTAACAAGTAAGGGATTAGTTTAAGGGCTACGTCACACTAAGTAACTTTTAGTTAAGAGAAGTTTTAGAAATTATAAGCCCAGGTGTCCTCACGATGTTTTCCGTCACCGTTTGTCAGTGGTATCTAGATCTTAGAAAGTACTTATAACTCGGAAAAAGTCACATTGGTACCTACTTGCTATTGGTAGGTTTCGGACGCGCACCCTCATGCATAAGAAGCGGGCGTCTTAGGCCTCCAGGCTACCACGACTTGCTAACAACACTCTTTTATACTTTCTAATTATAAGTTTGAAATCGCCAACTCGCATTGAGCAAGCGTGGTGACTAATGCTCAAACCTTCTCCGTGTGAAAAGAGGCCTTTGGTCAGCAGTGGCTGCTTATAGGCTGTTGATGTGATGATGTAATATTGAAACATAATTTATTAACAGTAAAGGGAATAAACATAAAAGAAAACAGTTTCCGAGCTACACATTATCATGATAGGTTAAAATTAAACTCTTTTAACACTCGATAAAAATACCTCAATAATAAACTTCAATACGCAATCACAAATCAAAGCAACATTATTATCATCTGTATTTATTCAAAATGATCGTTAAATTGTTTATTATTTAACAAAACAACTCATTATGCGTCCTCACACAACATGTAGCCATTATGAGGATGAAAATCAATAAAATATAATATGAATAATAAAATCTGCATATCTCACGCCATCTTCCTTTCATTCAGCTGAAGGGCGACGCAATATGATGCTGGCTGGTCGCGTCAATAGAGAAAAAAAATGACAATTCGAAATTTGAATCCGCAAGTGTCCTCGAGATGTTCAGTTTGAATTTCGAATAGATTAACCGTTGGTTCTTTTTGTTTCTTTTATTTTATCTGATTGCGTTTTTTTTTTGTTGTATCCACGCTTGGTGAATGGGTTTAAGGCCGTAGTTTAAAAAGTTTAAGATTGTCATAGAGCATTGCTATACGGTCTATGTTTGTTTTGGTGTTCCTTTTTCGGCTCTTACGAAACAAACAGGAAGAGTAGAAATAATGACAGAAAGTAGAAGGAATTCTTAGACGACTGCCTCGTTTGCCGAGTTGTCGCAAATGCAACGCAAATGGGTCACGGATACGATTCGCGGGTCGGGCAAAGTATTGCTGGATTTTTTTTAATCACTCAGAAGTAGCACGGAGACTGGAATTGTGCTCGGTATATGGCAATAGGCTCACCCCCTATTACATGGGACTCATAACATAAATAGTGAAAAGTGGGTGTTACATTGTACAGTGGCATTATGTGTCGTAATGTGCACCTCTGCCTACCCCTTCGGGGAAAAAGGGCATGATGTTATGCAATGTGTTAGAAATTATAAGCCCAGGTTTCCTCTACCGTTTGTCAGTGGTGTCTAGATAATCTTAGAAAGTAAATATAATAGCAGAATAGATAATGTATCAATGAGATTTTATAAACATTTTTTTTAAAAAGAGCGATGAAGGTTTCTTTTCCGTGCTTCTCCATTCGAAACTACACTTTGGAACGAGCGCCTAGCTTCGCTAATAGACAGACGGACGGACAATTCAATTTTAGACGTTTCAAATGTCTAATTAAGGATTAATTGAAATAAATGCTTTGACTTTGAATAGGAGGCAGACGAGCAGACGGATCACCAATCAATGGTCGCTTACTTTCGGGTGATCAGCTCCGCCTATGAACACCCGCAACACCAGAGAAGTCACAGGTGCAATAAATACTTCTAATTACCCATGTAAAAAAACTATTTATTTTTGTCAGGGTACAAATAAAAAAATTTATTGTCTCTTCCTACACCGGACCTTCCCACGCCTTAGTCGCAAAAAAAAATCGAAGACAATGTCATTGTTTA